AGGAGGATGGGTAGTTGAAGACTCACCTACTTTCTTAACTAACAACATTACTACCTCATCCTCTAACTTCTTCTTTGCAACCATCGATCGGAATGCAGGGTAGCTCATACAGCAAAAAGACAAGACAGAATCAGACCCTGACCGATGATACAACTTAATCGGTTGTAACTCAGACGATTCATCCTTAATTCTTACTTCTTTCTGTTTGAAATCAATCTTGGGATCAGCTTCCTCGTGCCAATCCATTCCCAAAATGATATCAAACGGCATGTTCTTCTCGATCAGGAAGGGAAGCTCATGCCAAATCTTCTTCCCATCCTTAGTACTGAACTGACAACGAACACGATTGACGTACTGCGTTACCGTCATCGTGCTTTTGTTAGCCAACATAGACGTGATCGGTTTAGACAAAGTCTGGATCTTCATGCCGAGGTGCAACTTGCGGATTGCACGTTCAAACATGTAAGATCGTGTGGACCCAGGGTCCAACATCGCACCAACGTGTGTGCGATTGACAACCAAGTCGACAATCAATAGTTCCCCCTTAGACTTGGCTTTCTTCGCCCACGAACTGCGTAACGCGACTAGCTCGCTACCAAGTTCGTCAAGGGAGTCGTCCAGAGACAGGCATAAGACAGGAGTGGGGTTGTCAGGACGACGGGCGGAAGGGTTTCCATCCTCTGCCACAGGAGTCGGAGTGTGGAAAGGGATCGTAGGCGCCTCACATGTGATCGCACCCTCCGACTCTGTAGGAACAAATGTTATTCCTACTGGCTGCTCCCTTTTGAGTTCCTAATCAACGGACAAAAGGCAATGACATGCCCCGCAGTGCCACACTTGAGGCACTGCGCATTATCCATTCTATCTTGCCACACCTCCCAGGTTAGTCCCATCTCCAGCCACGGTCTGTCGGCCGCAATCCCAGGATGGTATGGGAAGGAGCGTGGTCTTCCCTTCGGTCGAGTGTTCGATGACGGTCCTCCCTTGTTGACCGTCGCAGCGGTAACCTCCCCCTTTCCGGGGTCACTGCTGCTGTCACCAGCACCCTCATTCTCTAATGGCCATCTCTCCATTGTATCGTCATCGAATACGACGAGGGTGTGATCTTGGCGCTTTTGACGCCATATGACCTGCTTGTCGTAGCCTCCCCGACTGCTTCCTCCTCCATTCTTTATGGCAGCAGCATAGGAACCTTTGACTTGCGAAGTCATTTGTTCCCGCTGCAACGCCAGGTCGCGAAACTGTCGGTAACTATACTTACCGGACTTGGCCTCGGCGACCAAGTGCCCTCGGATTGGTTCGGGTAATGCACGCGAGTAAATATAAAGGACCTGAGAGTCCTGCAGGTTAAGACCGGGAACCTGCAACATTCGGTCAACCTCACGAGACAATGACTCAACTGAAGACCACGACTTCTGTCCTATCGTAGTGAGTTGGTCGAAGGCCTTATCGCCCGTAGTCTTGTCCAGAAAGCGGTCCTTGACTTTTGCAAGGAACTGCTTCAAGGTCATAGTTTTCGCCCAATCGCCTATATCGTCAAACCCCGCGGCATTCGCCTCCGCCAGAACCCATTGCTTCACTTCACCACCCATACAAGAAGTGGTGAACGCAACTTGCGACTCTTCTTCTACCGGTGCAGTCCCAACATAGTTTTGGATCTCTGCAATCCAGAGTGGAAGGCTTTCTTCTTTGTTATTAGAAAAAGTAAAAGGTAATTTCATCTTCACCTTTTTTTTTTTCTTTGGCGTAGTCGGATCTGCGGGTTTGGAATTGTCCTTAGGAGGGGGAGTGGGACCGTTGGGACCACCATTCCCATTTCCGTTCCCGTTCCCATTCCCGTTTTCATTACCATTCCCATCAGGTTTCTTCTCTGCTTGTTTCTTCTCGGTTTCTTTTACCGTTTCCTTCTTCGTTGTGTCGCAGTTTTCCATTCCACCAAGAAGCAGCTTCTCGGGCTTGACGTCCGCTTTTCTTTCTTTATCTTCTTTCTCTTCATTATTTTCAAGCACAGGCGCTTTTCCCTTGACAATGCTAGTAATGACATGGAGACCAACAGCCAATTCATCCATTCTAGATTGTTGTTGGTCCAATTTTTCTTCAAGAAAAGCCAAATACGTCAGTATTTGCCCCAGCGTCTGGGCGACATCCTTCTCATCCAAAGAAACGTGCTGCTGAACTTTACCCATTCTCTGCTGTAGCCTGGTTTCCTGTTCTTTCTTTTGTAACAGTTCTTCCCGCTTCCTTTCTTCTTTCGCGAGTGTCTCTTTCAACTGTTGTATGTTCTCTTCAATACTTTCTACCTTTACTTCTGGCACGGTATCTTTCCGTTGGGCAATCTCTTCCAACTGCTGGATGGTAAATTGGTCCAGTATCTGACGACACTGGCCAATAACCTTGTGGATTTCAGTCGCTGCTGCTATCATCTCCACACCCGTGGTAGCTTTGGCCAAACGATCAGAGATCGCATCAAGGTCAAATTTACCCCGGATGTGTTCTCTTGCAGCAGGGACAGCAAACTCCATATCCACCAGCAGTTGGGAGAGGAGCTCTCCCAGTTTACTTCTTCGTGCCTCGATCTGGGCACGTGTACGCGGCTCAGTCGAGGAGCTACTTGCTCCCACCGCATAAGGCACTTGCCCAGGTCCGAACAGACGAGGCACCCACCTGGTCAGCAGGGACTGACGCATGTGTTGAACAATCGGTGCCATGATTAACATCAACAGGGAACTTAACAGGCCAATCCTTTCTCAAATAATAATGAAACAGACAATATTATCTGATGGCTGGACAGCCACTCAATCGTCAGTACAGCAGAGGATTCACAAGAAAATAAATAAATAAAAATAATTAATTATTCTCTTGATTGATGTCTTTTCTATAAGCTGTTCTAACTTTGTTTTCTCTCCTATTCGTGTGATGACTCCTCTTCCAGGTAATCGAGCAGGCCAAGATCGTTAGCATTCACAGGTACGTGTGCACGCACAACCAGACAACAGGTAAGTACCGACAACACAACCAATCAACGTCAGTCTTCCCCACAATGCCACGTCAGCATGCACTCTAATCACCCCGACAACAATCAAGCACCACAAGCCAAAGTCTGTCGTTCGTGCCGCTCCCAGTGTCGGAATGCATCAATCATTTCCCGAGGCACGTCGTGCCTGCTTCGGCCAACCCCCCCGATATGCCAACTCAGCTTTCGCCAAGTCAGCACTTCAAACCAATCAAAGATCGTAAGGGGTGGCTTCAGCAATGAATGCTGGCCGCTCTTTCTCTTGTTACCTGGATCCGTTTGTGAGGGTGAACTCCCACAATGTTGCGCTTCACAAGTCTGCTCGCCGCATCCCAAGTCCAATCAAAGTCTGCCACGTCAGCGCTTGATCTCGCCAATGCCAGCGAGTAATCAAAGAGCCAATCAACAGCTCTACTCGTCTCTGGCTGGCGAAATAGCAATGCGTCAACTCTATTTCTTCGGCGAGATAGCATCAGCACATGACAAGAAGTTCCCACTCAATATCTCCAGTGGACGTGGATGTGCCACGTCAGCAATCAATCATCGTTTGGCAGGCATAAACAGCCCGTCATCACCATATCCTTCGCGCACGTCGTCGGGCTCGATAGAGAGCATCCCGATACTCACTTACCTGCGCGCGCGAACGTGGAGAGAAAATGGCGCGCTAGTTGTCAATCGCGTCGGAGAGACGCGAGCGCCGTAGTAGACAATGTCGGAAGTAGAGCTCCGATACCAATTTGCAATGTGCCCAGTCGTGATAATCAGTCGTCACTCGCAAAGACAAAATAGACGAACGCTGCTGATAAATCTTAATAATAATGATCCCAAAATGAGAGAGAATGCATACACAGACGAGAGAGGGAGGAGGGAGAATAGACTTTGAGAGGGTGGAAGAGTCTCCTCCCTACAGCCCACTTCCTCTTCGGGCACTTCCTCCTCCTAGCAGCATAATCGTGTCTCAATCAGAGATCCGGACATTCAAGACAATGTAGTCCCACAGTGCCACGTGGCACCAGCAGACCAGTCATCAAGCAGCAGCGTGACGACGAAGTTGAAGACACCAGGTATGTATCACGACCCCAACCACAGTCCTGAATCCTCCTTCCGAGTACTTGTCAAGCAGAACAGCAATACAGGCGCCCAGCGCCTTCCACCTCAGCAGCAATACTACGTGGCAGCAGCCACAAAGATGACACGTGGCATCTGCCACGTCGACAACCCCTCAGACAGTAGTGCGCCAGCCAGCATGCTGGTCGCACAGCACACTCAAGCCACRAACCAGCGACGAGCGCCRRTCGYCAAGTTCTCCCCGCAGCGYCTCGMCAGCAAGACAGCATAGAGCCGGCGTTGACGCGAGAGCGTCGAGTCCCCATAGACTTWAGATGAGAGTCTAGATGTCAAAGCCAGGAAGTCAGTCCAATATGTAGTGTTGACGGCGGRGTCTGGGCCCCAGTCCTCAAGTCAGACACGRCCGAGATCRATTGTCGTCGACGGCCTGGATTGAGTTGAAACTGTATCCTCCTTGGTCCACCGTTCTGACTGGGTACCTGCACACATACAAGTCAATGCACAYGACCAAGGGCCTGGGCGAGGTACCTGGACCTACAGTTCACTTTGACCTTTGAATTTCTTGCTGTGCGTGGTCACACAGCACCCGCAGCGGCCTAAGGCTGAGCAGCGCGTGGTCGCACTGCTCGCTGGGCCTGGGCTTGGGTTACAGCGCCCAGGCCGCTGCTGAACGCGGTTACTGCATTCCTACCGGCCCGAATTCGAGTTCCACAGCAGAAATACTTAAGACTTCAGTCCGCGTTCATAGCTAGCAACAATATCAGGAGCAGTATCCATCAGTTCCCGTTTGCTAAACCAACGGTCTTCAGAGGCATCTTGGAACTGGAATCTCACTTTATACTGCTTCTGAGGTCTGCCTCTTCCACCAGTAAAAAAGAATCCATGGTCAGTAATTTTCTCAACCACTTAGCTGCCATTCATAGAAGGAGGTATGGCAGATGGTCGGTGAGGAAATTTTGTTCCTTCTACATATGGAAGCAGTTTAGACGCGTGAAAGACGGGGTATGTCCGAAGATGAGGGGGAATGTCAATCCGGTATGATGGTCCTTCGGCATCCCCTATCACCTTGAGAACTTCCCAGGGTCCTAGATAGACAGGCATGAGTTTCTGAGAAACATCCTCTTCTAGAGTGAACTCTTTGGACTTGACCCAGACCAAGTCATCAACTTGAAAAGTAGACGGGCGTCGGTGTTTGTTAGCTTGTTCAATCATGCGCTCTTGGGTTTTCCTCAGATTCCCCTTCACCTTTTTGATGTCTTCTTGAAACATAATGGCATATTCTTTTGTCCCTGGTGGAAGTCTAAGAAACTGATCCCTGGTTAAAACATCAATGGGACGCTTAGGCTTCCATCCCTTGTGCAGTGCGTTAGGCGTGCGTCCCGTCGCGGTATGCACACTATTGTTATATGCACCGGCAATCTTGGGTAAGTTCTCATCCCAGTCTATTTGGTCAGGACGGACATACATTCTCAGAAGTTGTTGGACCATACGGTTCATTTGCTCAGACTGGCCATTCGTCTCAGGGTGTCTGCCTGACGACATGGTGAGTCGTGTACCATATGCCTCCATCAGCTTCTGCCAAGGCATGCTTGTGAACCTGACATCGCGGTCAGATACGATAGAAATGGGAAACCCATACTCAGTTACCCATCGCATCTGAAATTTAGCAATCACAAGCTCAGTCTTGGCCTCTCCAGGCAAGGGTATGAACATGGCATATTTAGAGAAACGGTCAACCACAACCATAACTTGACTATTGCCATTTCGGGACTTGGTGAGTTTCATGAAGTCTATGGACACAGACTCACCTGGCTCACTTGGAATAGGTAGTGGTCGAAGTAAACCCAAAGGGTTCTCATGAGACGACTTGTTTCTCTGACATACTTGGCACTTACGAACATACGTTAGCACATCCTCTTTCAAACCCTTCCATTCATAGTGCTCACGCACCTCAACATACGTCTTCTTGAAACCAAAGTGTCCCTCTGTGTCATGACATTCCCCAATCAATAGACTTTTAAGTTCTTCCTTGTGAGGAATGCACAATCTCTGTTCTGTCTGGTCCAACAGGAAGAGTAAGCCATCAGACAATCGATAGTGAGGAAGTTGGGATGGGTCCTTGGCTAGGATTTCCATGATTGGTTACCAGACAGGGCCAGTGGCATATCCAGTGCGAATCTGATCTTTCACATCATTTCCAACATCCAGGTAAGAGACTATAGCCCCAAAGAAATCACTCCTCCTAGATAGTGCGTCTGCTACAACATTAGACTTACCTTTAATAGTTTTGAGTTCGAAATCGAAGGTATCGATGAAAGCAGACCAACGCACCAAATTGTCAGACAATCGAGGCTGTGTCTTGATCCACTTGAGGGTCGAGTGGTCCGAGTACACCGTAAAATGTTTGCTAAGGAGATAGTGTTTCCACGTTTCTAGGGCACAGACTAATGCATACAACTCCCTTTCGTAGGTGGAGTTGGCGATCTTTTCGCACGACAGACGTTTAGACATAAACTCAACAGGGCGGTAGCCCTTGCCGTCGTCTTGTTGTAAGACAGCGCCAACACCGTACTGACTCGCGCCAGTCGTAACAATGAAAGGAAGAGACGGGTCGGCAATCTTGAGGACAGGATAGTGAGTCAAAGCATATTTCAGCTTTCGAAAAGACGAGTCACAATCCTTATCCCATAGCCAGACAGTACCTTTCTTAAGCAACCTTCTCATCGGTGCAGCGATAACAGAGAAGTTCCTAACGAACTTTCTATAGTAACTCGCCAAACCAAGGAAAGATCGAAGGTCTGTCAGAGTCTTTGGCTGTGGCCAATCTCTGATTGCCGAGATCTTCTTTTCCTCGGGCCTCAATCCCTCCTCATTCACTATGTGTCCTAAGTATAAGACTTCAGACTTAGCAAACTCGGATTTCTTTGGGTTGAGTTTGAAGTTACCTTCGCGTAACTTCCCGAGTACTAGACGTAGATGTTTCTGGTGGTCTTCTAGTGTTTTACTATACACTAGAATGTCATCCAGATAGACGATGCCGAAGTCGTCGAGCCATTGCCTGAATAACTCGTTCATTGACCTTTGGAAGGTCGCAGGTGCGTTCGTTAGACCAAATGGCATCACGATGAATTCGTAATGACCATATCTCGTACGGAACGCGGTCTTATGCTGATCGGCGGGATCCACCTCGATCTGGTGGTACCCAGACTTAAGGTCGATCTTGCTAAAGACTCGACAACCCTGCAACTGATCCAAGAGATCGTCGATCCTTGGCAAAGGTTCGACGTTTTTGACGGTGACGGCATTCAGCCCTCGGTAGTCGATGCAAAGGCGCAGCTCACCTTCCTTTTTGGGCACAAACAAGACAGGTGCACCATAAGGAGCGGAGCTAGGGCGAATCCATCCCTTCTCCGTCAACTCAGACAGTTGTTTCTTAAGTTCCTCAAGTTCCCTTGGAGACATGCGATAGATAGGGCCCTTGGG